AAAGATAACTTCTAAAGGTTTTTCTACAACCAGTAAGTTGCATCAAGGACTGAGGCGGAGGATCAACAAGGGCTTTTTTCTAGGAGCACTAATATGTTTCCAATAAACGTTATATTTCCGCTTGCCAAAGAAGGAATTTTTGTGGGAGGCTTGATTTGTCTATACTGTAATCCAGTCATGATGTAGCTATGCAATTGGACGCTTGCATGAGTGCTTTCTCGGTAGATCATTTCGAGCAAGCCAGTCCGTAATTCACGAACTGAAAGCAGAACGGATGTGGCTTATTGGGTTGGATGTTATTGATTAGTTCGCGGTACACATTACCCACGCTGAGGTACGTCTCAACAAAAATTAAGGTCATGCTGTAGCAAATTTCTTCAGAGGACCAATATCGCACAGTCAGTTTAGTTAGACTGTCATGTAACACTCAAGGAGTGTTTACAATGTTTTCTTTCTTTCTTCGTATTGTTGGTGTGCTTTTTCTGTTTGTTTAGAATAGAATGATTTTATGGATTATCCATTTTTTTGTCCTATCCAAATTAATTTCGCACAACTTCATTCCCACTCTTGTACATCCAGGTACGCTTCTTATTGTTTTTTTAATACTCAAAGTAACACTCATCAAAGGTTCACTGCTTTTTACAAAAAACAAAACAAGTTAGCTGACAAGTGTCGAACGTCAGAATGAGTCATTGGGCAGGTAGTAATGTCAAGCTAGTAAAATATTTCAGCCAATTTCACCAAAGATCAATGACAATGGGAGTGAAAAATGTCAAAAATTATTTTTCGCTTGCTGTTTAACACAAAACCTGTTGCCGAAGCTGTTTCAATTTTTGTAAACTATCTGCGACCAGAAATAGTTTTAAAGGGGTTTGAGTGATTAGTTGCCGGGTGGAAAAAATTGTAAAGTGGAGTAAAAAGCCTTGATTTAAAAAATCTGTGCTCAAACTATTGACTTGTGCATCCGGTATTTCGGTACTTGCGAAGCACTTTCGTGACAGAAAGGCAGTCTATGGACAAATCACTGATCGCGCGTTCACATAACAGTTTTCCTAATCACCTGGCTTAACTAAGTTGGTAGATTAAGTGAAGCTCAACCAAATTCTACATTGGTATGCGTATGCTCATAGTTGTTTTATTGTTTTTACTTCATTGCGGCATCAGAGCGTATACCAACTAAAGAGTGTGCGAAATCTGACCCCACACCTGAGGCCCGCTCCCCAGATTAAAGACATACTGTGCTGCTGTGTACGCATAACTTTTGATTATAGCCACAAGGTGTTTCTCCATTAAGATAAGGACAGCAGCGAAATCATCCATCCCAGTGCTATTAAATGTGGTCCATTCTGGACCATGTAATGGTTTAGATTTGTGGTATGTTATTAGGATTTGGAACCAAGTGAAATCTTGCTCCCTCATCCTGGCAACTAGGCACTTGCCACTTTTAGTTGCCGGTGGCTGCGAAGGTAGTAGACTTCACGTTCGCCTCCCTCTCTTTTGATTAGTAGTCCTTTTGTCCTGGTGCAATTTTCCACCAGGGTCAAAGCTCTCACGGCGCTACCTGAGTAGCCCCCTCTGAAGGGTATGGCAATCGACCGTTACGATAGTTACGAGGCAAACCAGTCACATCGCTCATACCTAATCACGTTCATGTTCAGACGTGAAAAGTTAGATGCGTCCAAAGTATGCTGGTGGCGTATTGGTAACACGATCTACTCGCACGTCACATGTCGAGTTCAAGTCACAGCATGAAAAAGAATATGCACTGCTGATGAACTCTAATAAGAGCAAAACTCGCGACCAAAAAGAATATGCTGATGAACTCTAATAAGAGCAAAACTCGCGACCAGTGCTTCCTCTTTGATGTGAACTTGCCAGAATAACTGTGGCAGGACAGTAAGACGACTGTTAGGACGGGTGGCTTCAACGTGAAACCAACCAATTTCGCTTATCTAAAATCACCAGAAATTAAGTCCTTTGCTTGGCACCAAAAGAACGATTGCTTGTCCGAGTCTCTAGGTCGGTCACACGCTTGGTTCACTGTGGAACGATTAGTCCGCATAGGATGTTCTTGACACTGAGAAAGTTAGCATCCAAAAGTTTCTTCATTAGTCTGTTAACTTCAGTCCTAAGCTTAGAAAAAACCGATTTCGCAAAATTCCTCAGTGTACAAACCAAACACTGCGGCCCGTGTCCAAAACTACCTGTCAAACTATAAGTTGATCCTATCGATGCTTTCGATGGCATGCTGGAGCTGTCACAGCCATTTATCTTATTTATGGGAATAACGAGGGTAGTTCGTCTGCTGTCGCATGGTGCATACAGCTTCTTTTTGCACAGGATAGCTATAGTCCGCAACAACCAGTGGCGCCCACATTGGCCTGGCATGAAGTAACTATTATCAAGAAAAGCAACTAGGCTGATAAGCAATGCTCCACGATCCACTGAATGTACGGTTTTCACTGTTCCACTAATATGCTTGCATAAGTTGTGTGTAATTTAACTGCAAAAACAGTAGACAGAAGACAGGATGATAAGATGCATGCAAGAAAATGACAGTAAGTATTCGGTGTACATGAAATCGATATCGCCGTATGAGCCTGAACTTTTTTACATGCTACAGCATGACAGGCACGTAGCTTTTTTCTCTGTCGACGGAAAAAGATTTTCTTGTGCCATTTGTAATCTTGAGTCTTGTGCCTGACACAACTTCCTAGAAAGTATAAAGAAAAGTCATTATACTCCGCAAATTTGGTGGTGAACAACAATAAGAAAGTGAAATGAACTTTATACGGCCACAGAGAAGAACACGATAATTTCTAATTTCTAATGTCATAAATCTTTCCAGATGTTGAAAAAATAAAGGTTACCAATGACATATGAAATTTTTGATTTTCTAAACATCAGTCTCAAGTCAATTGATCTGGTGGTAGGATCACTTCAGCGATAGAGTACACATCTAGTAGTTTTGGTTGCCAGACAAAAAATCAGCCAAGCCCTCAAAAAGTCAGACCATGCAAGAAGATGGGGACTTTCGATGGAGATGCATAATTCAATGAGCCATTACTTTAGATTTTCGTCAACTCATAGAGGTGAACTGAGGGAACGTCGCCAACTATATCCGATTTATACTAAGAGATGTACGGCGAGAGAGTAGATGCAGAGTTCTGCCGCGAAAAGTGAAAAGTGTGTTATTTTATGTCAGTAGCACACGTCTATGATCATAAGTTTCATGGAAGTCCTCCAGTCTACCGCCACTCGTATAAATAAGTTCCCTTGAGTTTTGGTTTGATTGCTCTGATTAGACATACGGTAGCTTGGAAACCAACATGATCATCAGTCGGTATTTTTGCTGATGAGTGGGAAAAGCGTTTTTTGTCTTCCGGTTCCTGATCAGGATGCTAATGATTCGTCCGCCGGAGAACAGATCCGCGGCGACTTAATCATCGACCTACCATTCTGCCAGATCGTTTGTTGTTCCCTTTCCAACGGATTTTGTGTTCTATGGATAATTGATCATATTTTTCTGTGGCATTTGGGGTAAATTTTTGCCCTAACGCTAGAAGCCCCACATTAATAAACTGTGAAAACTTGCACCCATGACCGATCGAAAATGTAAACCGTTTCCGTTCCATTATCTTTAGGATTCTATCATATACATGTTAATTTTCGGCCGGATCAAATTCTATGCACTATGGCCGTTTGTAAATGACCCGCCATTTAAAATACATAAGAGGAAACCACGATCACTGACTCACCCGACATTTTCTACTTAAAAATAACCCTTACACTACACTGGAACCGGAATGTGGTGCCAAGAAGACTGGTTTTTGCGGCGGCAGTTAAGCTGGCCCCATTGCACAACGTGTGACCTGAAAACCTCAGCAAGATATTTTAGCCGGAATAGTTTAAAGGAACAATACTTTAGCGACGCTTCATCGAGGAGGAAACTGACTACACCAAATACTCCATGTGTATCGTAACCTGATTTTGACGGGGGTTACGACTGAATCCAGTTGAATCTGTCGTTCATAATGGTCTTAAACTGGATGTGCTGTCATCAGCCTTATGATAGGTGTTTGGCCCTGAAACTGATTGCAATTTTACACAAAAGCTGATCAGAGTGCTTTTTCATCCGTCATCAACTTTACTGTCCTGAAAGTTTCGATCCTAAGACAACCAAATTTCGTCATCCACCGTTGAGAATTGTAGTCACCTCTTAGTTTGCTGTGTTTCCACCAGTACAGAAAGCCACTGATATTCCCAGAGAAACCCCTTGATTCTTGAATTTCCGTCCATTTTTATGCTTCTGGTGATTATTCCTGGTTCATCCGCACTTATCTACTGAGATATTTGCCAATTATAGCGCTTTATAATACACATTACAACAGAGCATCATTCGGCTTCAACTCATTATACCAGCCAGAGCAAAAGCTCTGCACCTGTTTCATTACGTTTGCTATTTTTGTGCTTTTATTTATTGCCTCTTGTGACATATAAGCAGTTCAGTTTTGGCTCTTCCAGTAGATACAGGACAACACCTGGGCCCTTAAATTCATGTTTGACGCCGACCTAAAAACTGCCAAGACTGGTAAGAACACGGATTTTCAATATGGATAAAATTACCGCCATCCGGACTCATAAGCCGGAACCTTACTTCTTGAAGCCTTGAAGACGAGTGTTTAACCTGGCATAACAATGGTACTGACATGATAACAAACGTAACCAGTTCAACCAGACACTCTAACACATCCGACGGCCATGTGACCCAAAACCTCCCATTAATCCATTCTTGGCGCACACACCTGACCTCTGTGTTCCGTTCCATCCATTTATTTGTTTATCATTTCTATCACTTATCTATCCCGCAAATGGTCATATAACTCATGCGCGTTTACTTAAATTCACAAATTTCGACTAATCGGCACTCATGAAACTAGACAGAACATAGCCATTAAATCAAATATGTTCCAATTCAAATTTCAAGCCTGAACTCTCACCTGACAAATGTTTCGATTGCTGAATCCATGTTGTGGCCAGTCTTTGCACTGACCTCATAATAATCGGCCTCCAGTGTCTGAAATCGAAAGTTTGTATTGTTTTAACATGGTGCACTACTGAGCATGGCTTTGGAAAGCACAGACCAGCAAACAAATGCCAACCGATTCTATCGTTGTTTAGGCTGGTCCAGCACATTTTAAGGCATATTTTCTATTACGCTTGGTGTAATCCTCCTGCCTTGCAAACCTACTATTGTTAGAGATCTGAGGCAAACCATACGCAGTTTAGATACACGTCATCCATGGAGTTAAATGCTCAGTAAACGAAAACATATGCATATGCTAAAAGCATTCTTGGTTTTAACTGTTAAACCCTCTTCTGCTTCTTCAAACCCATATACTGATAAGTTTCCCGACTTAAAGCTCCCAGCCCGATGTGGTGGTCAGCGTTGAATGCCAAAATGATCCTGCAGGCTATACTGGCCGAAAATTCCTCCCACATGGTGCAGTCATGTAAGGAAGACCAAAGAAGAGCATTCAGATCAAGAGCAGCAAAAATCCGTACTATAAGTAATCTTGTTACGAAGGAGTCTGGTGTCAGCAGCCTACTGTCTTCTCCGATAAGACTGTGGGGGAAATAAGATGCTTGCCCTTGGTGACCAGCATGTCCATATTCACAGGAGCTTCGTTGCTACATTTCGACAAGAGAGCGGTAGTAAAGGGTTGTCTTGTTGCTGACTTTGACTGCTGGTGCCCAATGCAGTGCAATCAAAATAGCTTTAATGCCAAGGGATTTAGTGCTGCTAAAAAGCACCTTCGGTATGTATTTGCATCAGGAGTAAGAAAGCAATGCCTTAATCCCTGTGCTCCCGAATTAGGCCACCTCCATGCAGCCCAGCAAGCCGGATAATCGTCTCCAAGCAGGGACCCCAAAGGGATCTCTACTGCCTGCTGCCCCACGGACCAGAATTTTCAATCAAAAGCTCGAAGTGGAGTACCTCAACCAAACCTCCGTTCTCGGCCTTGGTAACTGGGTCTTATTAGCTCTTTGTTGACGGACGTCTCTTCCACCACAAAAGCAAACGCTGCTAAATCGTTTAATTGTCAGTCGCCCGATCAAGATGCCTGCTAATGATAAATAAAAGCTCGCTGATAAGGCTAGAAGATGCTTCCTATGTTGGAGCTACCAACATGCGTACTCAATGTCAAATTGGTAAACCGAGACTTCGTACTCCATTGAAGTTGACGTATACTGTGTCTCCGAAACATGCATAAAAGAACCAAGCTTGGTCATGCATCTCAGAACGCCAAGAGCGAACTCAACTCTTTCAGATCTTACTCCTCGTGTGTCCAGTGATCCAGAAGCGATGGCTGGTGGAATATATAGCCTGAGGGTTGCACTCATCCCCAGGACTAAATGATCTTTGCTGAAGTGGACTTCAGTGAACGGTCGTCTTTGCGCCATCTGGTTATCCGGCCTAACCAACCACAATGCCTCCACTTAAAAAACGCTTGTTTACAGTGCTAGAATTTCCTGTAGACGACTTTATTTCTGATGCTGAGAGAGTTATCTGGGCTCAGTTGTTAAGGAATAAGCCCTGACGCTGTGATCTTTGCCATCGATATGAATACTCGAATTGGTCACCTGAGCTCCCTGGAATCACATCTAGGCGGTAGTCGATGCTCATTGGACGGACGGTGGAAAACGGCTCTTTGGGCTGCGTGCTGATTATCAGCTGCTTCTGGTCGGTACGAACTTTCAGAAAAAACATTCCAATAGGGCGACCTGGTGGTTTTCAACTGCGAATCAACCGTGAACCAAGCCAGGTCATGTGGCCGTCAGACACTGGTGGAGAGCCACAATTCAGGACTGCTGTTCCTTTTGAGGAACACAATTCGAATTGAGCGCGTCATTTTGCCCGCAAGCCTATCAGTTCGCTTTTATTCAAGTTCTCGAGAGTCCGGAAAATACATGCCACTTCATATCCTCCGAGAAATACCATAGTCTAGCAGTATCTCTCTGAGCTAGCTCAACTACTATTTACAGTAACCCAACAGTGACCGGGAAATGAGTTCTCTGATGTGTGTGCACGACTAGAAAATTTGTACGCAGTGAATCACTCAGTAGGATACGCGCCGTAACAAAAGATCCGCGGGCTCGAATTTCAACCAAAGGCTGTGTTTTTCGTTTCCCTTTTCCTTCTTCCCTTCCTAATCTTCTTCTTACCCTATTTATTTTCATTAAATTTTTCACACAAAGAATTTTCCACAAAGGCCTAGATTGCTAAAGCTTATTGAAGGAATGCCACGGGGCATTCGTTGTCCTATGCGCTCGACCGTCTTAATGGATTGTTGCTGTAAAACGTCGGCGAATTCAGATCAGATGACAATACCGCTCTACTGTCGTCTTTTATTCTGACGCCATCACTGAATTTCAAATCAAATCCAGAAGTAGTTCTATCAGATTTGTGCGGGCATTCCTTATGGCAAAAGAGCATTGACGCTCAGTTTACACTCGAAGAAATGGTTGGACACAGGATATTGATAGGGAGAAGACCTTTTGGCTAAAAATCTCCGTGAAACACTCAGTGCTTCCTACCACAGAGAAAAATAGTCATTTTGGGGCGGAAAATTAGAAAAAAATCACTCACTTTACCTGCGTTAATGGTTGGTTGGAGAACACAAACATATTGAACCCAGAAGTTGCTGATAAACCTAAACAAGCTAAAAACGCTAATTTCACCTAGCAGTCCTTGGTTTCGTAAGTGTAGCCGTCTCTTTGTACGATAATAAGATAATCGAGTCCTTCATCCTAAGTAGGTCATTGTCTGACCTTCACTTAAATACCTTCTACGCAAGCACCTCAGGGGTTTACGTGTCTTACATGATTTTTTGGTCTATTTGTTTATTTAAGATTAGGGGCTTGTTACGCAATACGTATTACATTTTGTACAAGGTCTCGTATCATTGTTGTCTTGTGTAATTTTTCGGGGAACAACTATACAGCGAGGATCACGTGAACAAATTTATCATTCGCAATTTTCTTTCCACGGCTGCTTAAATAGTGCGCCGAAGACTAGCTTGACAAGAGTATTACACTGTTCCCAGACGTTATTGTTGGAGGCAAGTTTTAAGCTTCAGTCTACTTGGGTTAAGTGCTGCTGTCTGACTAAACAATTTTACGTCTGACTATCTACTATCGGGAAGGATGGTTTTTTGAATAAAATTGCTCAACATTTAAAATGCTTCTTCTGGCTGGAGGTGAATGTTTTGCTTAAAACTTGGGTGACAAGGCTTTTCAAATCGCTCGACAGCTTATGTGGATGCAACCCTTGGCACGGCACAGACCACTGGAAATCTTTAATAATGGGAACCTATTTTTGATGCATTCTTCGGTGATGCACTATTCAGATTGTTCACACCTAGAAAACTGAAGTGTGAGATTCCAGGAAGTATTATCCACTTGGAATAAAAACATTGTGCAGACGAGGATCCTGGATGGATCTGACTCCCTCAAAATTTTCTTGTATTCTTACGAGGACTTGAGTTTCGGTATACGTCCTTCCCTTCGGAGAGATTAGTGTCAGAGGATAACAGTGATGGCTTGAATTGAAAGTCGAGATTTTGAAGGATCAGTCTCTACGCATAATCTAGAACTGCTTTGAAAAACAACTCACTCCTCTTGTCTAATTTTCTGTCTTTGAATGTCTCCGTTTGAACATTCCAAAGCTTATGCACTTAGCAAAAGCCAAACAGACTTACAGGTCCATTTAATCAACAGTCCAGTATGTATGTGGAAACGGAGGTGAACATTAGGTGAGTACTTAGTAGATGTAGTAATTTCCGTCTCTTTTTTGGAATATGGGATAACTTGTGGCATCAAGCGCTGCTGGTTAATAGGTGCAAACATGAATCGGTTGTTTTATGATCAGCCGCGAATGCTCAAAATTTACTCCTAGCAACACAAAGAAGGGTGCTGTGTGTGCCAGCCAGCAGTCATTTACTGTCACCGAAGATGAATTTTGCGTCACGACAGTTTGATGACGTATTCATTCATCAAGTCAAGCAAAAACCCCACCCCACAAACAATGCCATTATTACAGAATGGAATTATTGTGACATTGGTATTTCTAAATGTGGGGCGATGTTTCTTATTGAGGACCTTCAACTGAGAACACAACTGTCAAATACGAGAGAAATTTCTTGATCTTTTGAAGAAGTAAACACATGTCCCATTAAAAACGTTATATGTGGATTGACACCTTTTTTCTATTAAGCACCCAGTGGAAAAACGTCTCATTCAACAGAATAAATAAAACCACGGTAAGAGGGTGATAAACAGACCTTTTGTCACATGCAAACGCCAAACAAGAATTTTGTGAGTTTAGTTTCGTGCGTTATCCTACTAGGACTGTATCACATTCATTGAACTGCGTCGTGTGACCAACCATGGGTGACTACTTTGATATGGTCTTCTTTCAGAAGGAGATATATGGCGAAATTTTACTGCTGTCGTTTCCCACTACTGTTTGATATTTCAGGGGATACTTATCCTCAAGCCGGCAAAAACTTATTCGGCGATGTTTTCTTAGACTGGTACAACCGGTCGGGTAGAAAAAAAGTGGATAAGAAATGTTCACTCTAAGAAGTTAACCACACCGCTTCTGGTAATTTGATACTGGCGGGCGTGTTACCCACGCATCGATGTAATACATAACTGCGTCGACACAGCTGTTTTTCACATTCCTGTAGGCCGTTTAGTTTCAGCTTGTCACTGGGTCGTCCTGGGCCTCTGAAAGTAGATTTTTGACTCCGCCTTCTGGATTAATCATTTTCCTAAAATTGATGACTAAATGTCATAGTACGTTTCGTTGCTACGCACGCTAGAAACCTGGCGTGATAAGTTTTTTCTTGTATTAGGGTTGCTTGACGGTTCCAGCCTACAGGTCCATATCGGAAGTGGTGAATATAACACACGCAGAAAATTTGAAATATATCCTATGAAGAAATGAGATTGAGTAACCAAACGAAAAGGGGTGTTGTGATGCAAAACTGTAGCGTCTACTGCGGAAACAATGAGTTTTATTGGAATACGTTGGTGTGCACAAGTTAGAGTTCCTAAGCTTGTTACTCATACTTACTTTCGCAAGTCCCTCTGCGGAGGCTCTCGGAACCGGTAGAAAAGCTGGAGAAGAGTTGACTAAGTCCCATTTATTGGCCCACAGAACGTTCACTGTATCCTCCCAAGGTTTTTTTGCTGTTTTCAATCCCTTGAGTAGTTTCATAATTCTGTGATCCAGCTGATTGAAGTCGGACATTGAACATCCAGCATAAATAAATATCACTCCGTCAGCTTTTTCGCAGATATACTGATTAACCGGGAAATATCTAGAAATAGGCAAGAACCCAAAGTTACTCTTCTGCAAGCCTCCAAAAGTTCGGCGAAAATCGATGATGTTCTCAATAAACATAGTATATCTAAATGCGACTACCGTGCACTTGGACAATTCTTCACATTTTCTGTTTCATTTAGCACTTAACTAGCACAGAAAGAAAATGAGGTATAATTCAAACCTTGACCTGATTCATGCGTGATGGTGATGGTGACACAGTAAAAAATCTACAATCAACAAAATACGCCGCTGTCTTCTGGTCAGGATATCGATACATCCGCTCAGTAGTTTTCTGTTATCCGTTCTGTTATCCCTCCACTTCATTAACGTTATCAAATGAAGATACCGTCAATCTATCCTGGGTGTATTAAATAGACTTGAGTTACCGGAGTCTGGATCATAAGTATATAAGCTACATTTTTAGGCCTAATTGTTCATACACAGTTAATCTTGCTAGATCTGCTGATTGTGAAGTTTTATTCTTTCGGCAGGTTTCGGTCATATCTGTAAGCATGAAGGTTGGCAGATTTCGCGGCGCCTCAAGTAACAGAACAAGAGACGAAATGAGTTCTGACACCTTCTCATGACAACTGTTGTTTAATCCGCCTTAAATTTTTAGTTTATCCACACATCTGGTCTCAAGTAAGATAAAGTTCGATAGATTGCCTATCACCTCCTTCTTGAATCACTGTGAATTGGCAGCGTACGGCTGGAGCTTTTAAAATGAATTTTCCACCAAGCAACTGAAGGAGTCCAGCAGATTCGATGTAGCCTAAATTCAAGATGAGCAGCTTGAACAAGATGTACTTTACTGAACAGTGATGTCGTCGAGGCAGGCGAAGAATAATAAATTTACTACAAGTACGGTGAACGAATGGGTCAGTTACTGATTTTTTTACACACGAAACAGTGTACAAAAATATTATCACAATAATAAGACAATCAGGCGTACGCAACCAGTGTGATCGAAGTAAGCCAAGGTGTGACACGTGCTACATCAGTTCAAAGTACTATAAAAAATTCAAAGCCTGTTACAGGGTTATGACGAGTTGGCGCACTCAGAAGATGCTAAAGTCAGAAATATCCTTAAAATAAAAAAGTCTTCGGTTAAATTATTCCTATCTGAAGTAGATGCGGATGTACAGAAAGGTGTACGTTTTGCCTATAACACTCCTGTTGGGTTAAGCCGTGGCTTTTACCGAAAACTGTAGGCAAACTTCTATTTGTGGGTAATGGGCTAGTATACTGGGATAAAGTGATCGGTTTTATTTTTGTTCGAACCGAAGCAGCACATAGCCATACATTTTACGAGGTTGAAGCTTCTTACTTATCGTCCCCCTGGATATCCCAGAGCTGGAGAACAACTCGTTCACCGTCCACTTCTAAGTTACACATACGTAGTTCAATCTCCTCTCTCAGTTCTCCAGCTTTATCGATTTCTTCATCGCCACAAATTCGGCTGACGAGTGCAGTTCGTCCAGATCCGCTCTGGCCAACAACAGCGACTTTGAACATGCGCAAGCCCCGTCCCAATTCTCTTGGTTGGCCGCTAATCTGTAAAAGTACAGGCAAGTGATTTGATAAATAAAAAATAAGGGAAACATTGGTTCCAATCGCGAAATCGTTTTATGCACCAAACTACCGATCGCATAGGAAGCACAGTGACACATGCAGATATACAATAACATAATATGGTGTTAAAAGAAAGCTCCTAGCATTCCATGAACAAAATGTCATGACGTCAGCTGTAGCAAAAACAGGGCAACATTTAACCTTTGATACCAGTCAGATCTCACTGCTATCTGTCACTTGGTCCTGAATGGAAGGCGTTGCATAACTGACCAGTACTTTTAAAGCTGCTCGGAGAGTGAGAAATAGTTATTCACTGAAACCCAAATCCAGAAATAAATAAATGCAAATGCCAAGTCAAATGAGCTTTCTTTCAGTTAACATCGGAAAAGTATTCAGAGTCTGGGACATGTCTTTTCTCCATTAAAAAATTCCTGTAAACCCCAGGAAAACATACAAAAAGAGAATTTTGTAATTGCCTAACTCCACCCTCTCCTTGTGAGACTATGCTGAAAGCCTAGAAACTTATCATGAGTGACTCCAACTCCCTCACACAGGAATTCAAACAAACTAGTGTTTAGCTACAGTGCCTTGTTAACCATGCCAAAAACTTGAACCCAGTAAATATATACCTCCACCCTCTCCTTGTGGGACTATGCTGAAAGCCCAGATACTTATCATGAGTGACTCCAACTCCTTCACACGGGAATTCAAACAAGCTGGTGTTTGGCTACAGTGCCTTGTTAGCCATGCCAAAAACTTGAACCCAGTAAATATATAACGCCACTCCTTTAGTAGTGTAGTTAACGTCTACTGTAACAGTGTTGGCTGATTATTACAGTAATGATTTCCCACGAAAAACTTCGTCAACCTTGTAAAATGTTTCGTTTACGCGGACACTTGATGGACTTCCTTTAGACACTCTAAGGATATTTCGAAGTAGCGAGAGAACTCCACGTTCATAAAAAATTCTCTTAATGCAGCTAAACTGTGTGAAGTATCACTTTCTAGGGCAGAAATTTCTGAGTTTTAAACTGTGTTCACAGCAAGTTGACGCATGACAATGAATTCCGTTACCCGTTTACTGTCTGACCGCCAGACTAGAGCATCAGACTAGGGATGATTTCTAAGATGAATTCACTACAGGCTGATGATCAGATTGAACAGGACCGGTGAAAGCACGGAATGTCAACTTACAGTGCCTTTCATTGTGTTACTGATCTGAGCTCCTTTATCTCGGTCTCTACAAGAAGAACAGCGATACCATCAGCATAAATAAAGTAAGCGTATATTGGCGTTGCAGAGGTTTTTTCTAACGTCCTGAGTGAAACACAAGCACATTCTCGGACATTCAAAGTAATCTTAACGGTAGTCGCACTAATATGCTAGTACGCTGGACGGACGTGAATATGTACCATTTGGCGATGAAAACTGAGCATTCCATTTTCAAGTAAATAAAGTGATCCCAACCTATATCCGATATGCATCTGTGGGTGAAATATTGGTCTATATGAGACTATGAAACGATTATCAAAGCACTCTAACAGGTACCTTGGACTAAACCGTGTTCCAGGCATCAGGTACCATAAAGCGGTATGTAGTTTAAGGTATGTATTTGCTCGGAACTAAAAAAACCCAGACACTGGTGAATTCGTCTTTACCTAGACTTGGTGGGTTATAAGACATGCACACGTGACGCTTTAATAAACAGTCCCATACTTTCAACTCTGAACACTATATCCATTGTCAAAATTGTGTGGCGGGTGCATTGGATGTAAGGCGTACTTCAGTTTATGTCAGACGTCGACTACCTCAGACAGTCATCTGACTACTGACAGATAATCGGAAAGTTTTCAATTCGCTGTTGGTACTCTTGTAGTGCCATGTTATGATTCTTTACAAAATGCTTACAAAGAATGCTTCAGTGGAGCCTTTTAGCCCAATCAGCTTATAGTTATTACCCACTCCGTTCAATTGCAAGCACGTTCGAGCCTTTGGCTTTTCCGCAAGATAAGGTTAAGAATGTGTTTTTGATTCGATAGACTTGCCCCTTTGCTGTCTTCCTAAATTTGGTCTTTGATATTGTCTAGATATCACGTGAACATGTCAAACAAAGAATGGAGAAGCAAGGATAGAAACCTGAATATGACCAAATGGACTGGTGGGCTTTAGTATTATCATTGTTTCTATTACTATCTTTAGGGGGTTTCCAAACTTTTGTACTCATCGACTTTTTCAATACTTTCGGGTGTTAGTCGACGATGCGTAACAATATTTTGATGTCATATACATAGGATCTCTGGTTTCCTTGTTTACAAAAAAAACTAAAAAAAGCATATTATTTTTGTTGACCGTACCGAAGCATAGTTTCTTACGATAATTGGGTTTTGCTGAGGTGGATAGCAGACACTCATTGTTATATCGCACGATCACTCATTGAAAATGATTCCGTTGTCCTGTGTTTAGCGGCAATTTAATCCTTCATTACCGAACGGTATATTCGTGCATTATCACCGGCAATATCAGTGTTGATATTCATACGTCATTGCTGTATCGCTACGAAATGTGCCTAGCTGTATTGAACAACTAGGGGTGAAAAGCACAGAAAATATTGGTCGAGTGAGAGAACTTGGTGCTGGTATACAACAAGCATCGGCACAATTATCGACTGATTCCAGTTGTCTGGGATGGTCTACTGCTCCCAGAGAGACCCAAATAGGCTGGACAGACACTGGGTGAGGAGTCAATCGCCATCCACGAACAGACCAGGTGGGAGGCTGTCAGGATTGGGAGCACAGAGTCGCTTGATTAGAAGTATACACTCGGACACCCCTGAGGCTGAGGTGCTTTCATGTTCACAGTCAAGCATTCTGTTGGAGGCAGCAGCACGGACTGAAGGTAGCAGATAGCCTATTGAATAGTCGTTTAAGGTATTCTGCCCAACGGTTCAAAAGCTTTACTTTGTTGAATGCTGAAGAGCTAGTTTTTTCCCTGATAGATACTCTTGCAAGAGTTTTACAAGGACCCGTCGAACAAGCTAGATGGAACAGCATGCTGACGTTTCCAGCATTTTTCGAAACGTTCATTTCTTTGACCATTCGAATCCGCCCGAATTCACTATCCGAAGGGATATCCCGTTTCACCTGCCGTTGGATGATACATTTGTTTGAGTTGCAGTTGCGTCCATGAAGAATTTGCCCTACAAGGACAAGGTCGTAACACAGATTCAATGTTAGATGAATTTGGCTGCGTTGCACCGCAAACAGATCCGGCTTTCAGAAGCGCTTTGTGTATCCCTTCCAAACAACCGTTTGTATCCGATCTGGGACTCAGAAAGTGTTCATGGACCCGGTTCTGATATTTTTTGCTTTGTTTGTGGCCAATCAGGGAATACTAGTTTCGCGAAGAGGTGTACATTCGCAATGAAGAGCAGCAGCTGAGTCCACGTTGGCATTCCAGAAGCAGCAGGCAGGAAATGATGGCAGTGTGGCTTACTTAGATTCAAGATTGGTTCATTGATTGGCACCAAGTTGACCGACAATTTTTGCTTTTCGAAAACTGCTGCTGCAAAGGAACATTTTGTGACTGATGCACATCTGAAGCAGGCGATCTGTTTTTCAGCGTGTCTTGCGCCCAACCCTAGTCGGCCATCTAGCTGGGCACCAGCGGTGCAAACGCCTACCTAACTAGGCCTACCTACTTGAGCGTTCATGCCATCAGCAGCCACAACGATGTCTGAGTTTTTAATCCATTGTAAAAGAGCACCTAGAGCGTGCTAGAAAGTGTCCTTGGCAGATTCAGAGCTTCAGGCCGTTGAGGCGTAGACATAAACAGTAGACGGTGATGGGCCTCACTTTCCCAAGATTCCTTCACAGAGGCTTCTAAGCTAACTGCGCACAGGCGACTACTAAAGGATATGCAGTCAGGTAAAAAAAAACCTCCCTCACTTGCCTAATACGACATCACCCAGGCATATCTAGCTTCACCAGCCACGGCATCACCAGAAGTGAGCAGCCGGAATCTGGAAGAGAGCGAGGGGACAGTCAATTCAATTACAGTACTTGCGTCCTGCATTTTAGTTTCCGACCGACAACATATGTCAATGCATAGGGAATTTAGCGCACAAGCCGTAGCTGTTTGATTTCCTGCTTGCTTTGTTGCTCCAAAAGTCTTTCAAATGAAAATGCAATTGCAATTACAATTACCGGGGTTTATATAAAGTGTTTGAAATGCGAAGACCGTTGAGTTTAATAATTTTTACCCAGCTTCTTTAGGCAGTCGTTTCAAAGTAAAATAAATGTGTAAATGTCTAAAACAATTTTACTGTAAGCAATTTAAGAATCTTCAGGGTCACAAGCAAATCGGAATAGAAGACACGAAAAAATTTCGAACGATTTTTACATTAAACGGACTCACCCAAAAACTCCTTCATGGACCGCAACCTGCTGAGACTTTTGCAACTGGCCTATTCCCAGAGATGGTTCTGCCTCATGAATGGTTTTCTTCAAATTAAATGAGTCAACTGACTGACTCCATGAATCTTCAAATTCATAATCGTCATCGGAAAACACTTCTGTTGCTATCACCACGGCATCTTGGGGTGAGCTATGAAAGTAAAATTAGTACTGAAGAAATTCAATTTGCTAACATACGTTATCTCGCCCGATTGCAGCACTTGTGCAGTCGTTCTTTTGACCTCTGCGCCTTCATCTGGACACATTCTTTGTCTCCCAAAGACTTCGTTGACTTCATCCATAAGGCTACCGGTCGATACTAGATTGCGTGCACGATCATCATGTATTGCTTCATCGCGCTCGTCACGTAGTCGTCGATTTTGCTCCCTGGAAACCCGAACAAATTATGCAGTACCATGACAGAGAAAAAGTGGAATTCATCTGACCAATGACTTATTTTAACTAAATAACACAATTATCGATCAATTAGATTGGAGGAATAATTGACATCGAAAATCCTTCGCCATTGTAAAGCAGCCTTAACAAATCTAGGTTTGTAAGGGCTGGATTGCCTTAATGGCCTCTAAGCTTGTTTTGTTCACCGTAAAAGTTTTTCAGTCTTCAAAATTGATACAAAACGAGCCTCCTCTGTACCAGTGGAGTCGTCTAAAAGGTTTCCCCGTATAAATACAATTATTATGGAACGGGATGGTTAAATGGCTATATGGCTATAACAACGACGATCAAATAGCATAAAAAGATTGCCTCGCAGACGTGCACCTGAGGATTTCTGCCTACAGTGTTCTACAAAACCTTACACGGGATCGACTTCCGAAGAAATATTGGACATGAAGATCGTCATATTTGATTAGTACGAATTAAGTCCGACGATCAAATAGCATAAAAAGATTGTCTCGCAGACGTGCACCTTAGGATTTCTGCCTACAGTGTTCTATAAAGCCTTACACGGGATCGAATTCCGAAGAAATATTGGACATGAACATCGTCATATTTGATTAGTACGAATTAAGTGCCAGAAGAAATGCTACGTTTTCAGTTGTCTTTGTTAGTGCATCGCAGCTGAATGGCGGCCCACCAGATTGAACCTTGCATTATACAACCCGATTAATAGAGGTCATTTTTTCAACTGGAAGTTTCAAGCTTCATACTTACATGAACGGCTAAGGAAATTGCTTTAATCCACTGGCCTGTATAGTTTTATCAGAAAACAGACTTGGAGCGGAGCTACCTTTTTGAGTTGCTGGGTAGATGGCTTTTAAATGTACTGTCACAAAAGTCGGCATTTTGAATGAACTAAGCAAACGTGTCTACCGCATGATATTACATTTTTTATTTTGAAATTTGTGGTTATTGTGGTTCTCCATATAATATCGCATCTTCCGTAGACTACAATTTATTCTCAATAACTGCGCAGGCGATAATACACTTTTGCAATATGTGCTGAGAACACAAACAGCATGAAGGCATTTAGAAGCACTTGATGAAGTCACAGCACAGTAACTAAGCACACTTATAGCGGAGAAGTATATTTCCGATATGGAACACAGAGATGTTTCACTGATCTCAAAGTGAGTATCCAGAATGTTGTTCGCGAAAGACATGAATGAATCTGAAAGGTAAATTTAGTTGGCTCCTTCTTATAAACACTGTCATTTGTAATTAATCGTCCAGCTTCAAGCAAATTTGGGTCATCGTTCGCATGTGGAGTGCCAATGTTGGGAAAGTTTGCGATTACTCTTCTCTGAAGGGCTTTATAAATGGTGCCACTCTCAACCGACCTTCTCAGATATCTGACCAACTTTGTGGGTAGCTTCACGCCAAAGTAAATAAAATGGTCGTGGACGAGCTAAATAGTTCTTTTTCAAGTAATCACAAGATAACCGTTAAACCGTCATGCCATCTAGCAAACTTTAATTGTCAAAAAACCAGCAGTATATTGTTTATTAGAACTGGTCACGAAATGTTGGAGCCTGCATGATTCATGATCTGAAAGCGTTTCTACCGTAAAACAAGCTGGTTGTTGGGTGGGAATTCAAACAGCTAAATTTTCTGAAGATGCACATTTGCCTTGAACCTACTGATCAAACGGCATACTACAGATGATTGTCATTCTAAATTCCCCTAACTTTATTCAGTAGATTACTCACAAAAATCACAAACAGTTGAGTGATAGGGAAAAACGGAGAACAACATTCAACAAAAATTTACTGCGTGTTCGCGGGCAAAAAGAAAATTTGATTTACGCGGTCACGCTTAGAATGTTTTAAGTTTATAACAGCATCGTACAGTGCGATACAACAACAAGAATCTTAAGTGAACGCACAAGAATATTTTCGGCAACCTCGATACAACTAAAGCAATAAAGCCTTGCACAACCCCGGGCTACTGTCACGCACTTAACTGTAGAATATGTGCACATACCTCAGCTGGTCTAACTTCCGCATTAGTTCTTCGCATTCTACTTGGATCCGTTTACAGGTGAACGCATCTGCTTTTTCTCGCTTGGCCTGTTCCAATCTCGCTGTGGTCTGTAGATCTTCAATCGTGTGCTTGCTTTCCTCCACTGAAAACTATGTGCGTTGAAAATGAATTTGGTAAAAACCGAGTCAATTTACTCAGCGTTTGGCAATACGTTTTATTAAGCCTATCCATTGGAAAATCGACTTCTTTAAGATAAAAGTCGTTTTTAGATGAATTTGTCGGCAAAGAAACACGTACCTGTTGACCTTTAGGAACTAGTAGAACTAACTTCCTCTCTTGACTTTAGCGATTACTAGGCTCGATATTGTGCTGGAATAAGACGTTTCGTCCGGATTTGACTTCGTCTTGATTATACAACACTCACTGTTCAACCCAGTTGCTCAACATCTCTTTTCGGTGTTGAATGCTGGCCATTTAGAAGGGACTCGCTACAAACTAATGTTTCCCGGTTTAATGTAGTGACTAACCTTAGTCAGTAGTTAAATGCATTGTTTGCTGCCAATACAGCCGCTAGTTTGTGCCGATCTGTTTAGAGATCCCGAAAAAATCAGTGCTCGTCACTATGTTTCTACGGATACTGATTTTTCGGTTGACGGTGATAAATCATTTACCTGAACTCTTCCGGCAGGAATTTTAATTCTCTTGTCACAGCTTGCGTTCTAGCACCTGTTTTACTTCTTGGTTTGTTTGTCAATCGTTTGCATTTATAAAATCCACGAACACTAGATTAGTTACCTTGCAACCATATTGAACAACCGGGTTCTGAAAATCAGTCCAAGCAGTACAGCGTGCATCCTTAGTTTTTTTTAATCGGAAAAATCGTTGACGATTCGCAGTCGCGTTGCAGTTTAGGTTTGAATAAAGATATATACATTCATCAACTGCGGTGTCATTTGCCTAAATTTAAGTATTTTTAACCATCGCCAGTCTTTATTGTTGGCGTACACACTGTGAATGCATGAATCTGCAAGGTTCTGGTTGGGTTCATTAATTTGAGATACCTATGGCGTCAAAGTAGTGTATCCCTGAATCTCAAGGGAGGTGTTTATCAAGCTACAGTGCAGGCTGTTCTGTTGTATGGCTGTGGGACTTCGCCTGTTCGAGCAGCGGAGATGAGACGTCTTCAGGTAGTCGGCAATCGTTGCCTGAAAACCCTACCTTGCTTTGTTTGGTGTCGGCGAATGCGTAACAAGGCAATAAGAAAGCGGGGTTTTGGTTGTGCAACGGGTACTTATATTAAAGAATGTGTCCAGAACCAGAAGCTGCGTTGGTTAGGACATGTGTTGCCTGTGTCTAGCCATCTTTTGTCGAAGAAAGCGCTGTTTTCAATGCCCAACTCAGAGTGGTGGGAGCAGAGAGGTGGCCAACTATTGACCTGGCAGAGGGGTATGAAAGAAATCGCGGAACGTTTGGGTGCTGTCGGTGCTACTCACCTCCCAGGATGAGGATCACGTGATTCCCACTGCCCCTAGTTGGAGACACTGCAAGATTTGGCTGTCAACCGGTGTCAATGGCGTTCTTGTTGTCAGTTTTTATCCAGATTGCCTGAATGAGTGTCTGTAGGTGTAGACTACTCTGAATGATTGTAGTAAGCTAGCACCAAGTCCCTTCCCCATCGACCTTTATTCTTTTTTCACAATAAGACTTTCAAATAAACCATGGTTTTACGGCAGTGAAGCGTCGGTTTTGAACATTGACGTTATGTTGTGGATGATGATGATGATAACAAACTTCTCGGCAAATTAGTAGCTTGTAACGTACAGGTGGGTATAAGTAAAACTAGTCTTGATTTTAAAGCATGGGAAGTTCAACGCTGGGCTGCATAAAGGCCATATATTTAGGAGCAACTCCACTTACACCACTCAAGATTCGATACTTGAAAGCAGATGATGCGTTCGTAGGCCACTGTGGACGGGCGTACCAACATCATCACCGATAAAATTATGGGCTGCACAACTCGTATTTAGGAGCAACTCCACTTACACCACTGAAGATTCGATACTTGAAAGCAGGTGATGCGTTCGTAGGCTACTGTGGACGGGCGTACCAACATCACCACCGATAAAATTATGGGCTGCACAACTCGTGGATGCATCCCAACTTGTGGGACACAGGCGCAAATTGTGGTAGGCCAGTCGCAGTGCGTCGACTGGTAAGTTTCACTCTATCTTCTGATAGACAAAATATGTTCACTGCTGCACCTGTGCCATCTGTCTAATAATGACAAACGAAGCGGTTCGTCCTAAGTAATTCCCAGTATATAGGGTATTGTGGGGTAGGGGATTGTGGTACTATACCGACACACTAAGGAATTGGTGAATGACCCTAGCACCTCACTGCTCGTTGCGGCGCTAGGTCTTACTGTGGAGTCGTTGTGCTTAGACCGGTGGGTGGCCGTCAAAAGGCCTTCGCGAGATTGTCTGCCTATTTTCTTAACGAGATTTTAAGTAGGATTAACAGGCTCACTCACAGATGCACTAAGTTTGATTCCCGAAACAGCAGAAACAGATATACAGTGGTCGCTGGGCCTTCAGCACATGATGACTTCACGTAGAGGATTATGGTTCTGTTGAAACTTCCCAAATCGACTCCATACTGCTGGAAATAAACTTTGTTAAACCTGATAAAACTTCACCCTTTTTGAATTAATGCCCTCAGATTGTCTGTTCAGCAGTGCTGCTGAATGCATTTAAACATTTTTCAGTAATATGCTCCGATTTTTCAACAATGGCTGAAGAACAATGGTTCCGCAATTTAAGTAGTGGAACCTACATGAACGTGTGTGTATTGCAGAAGGCTGATATAATGCTGTCGTATTTACTGGAGTGCTAGAAGATGAGCGGATGTTGAAAAAATTAGCATGGATCCCTGAGGAGCTCATCCTGAAATATCAAAGTTTACAGTTGGTATTCTAAGGCATCTGTAACCATGCATCTGGTAACCATGCAAAGTCATGCAAGTTTCAATGATCTGTTCCTTCTAACAAAGTTTATTGGGAAAATCAATGTTGAGAATGATACTTGCAATTCAACTGGTCGAAATTCACAACAATTTCGGCCATTTTGGAGTTGTGTAAAAAGGCCGTTTGTCTTGAGAGCGGAGAGAACACCAAGTTGGTGTGAAACTTAACACCAGCGAACCAAGTTAGGGTCTTGATTAGATGTGTGGAGAAAGGACACAAGAGTTGAATTGTTTTCCCTTTCCGGGATTGTAGGTCTAGACTCCCTCATAATCTTAACGTATATCCATACGTTATTTTTGCTTCCAATTAGATGAACGAAACAGAATGCAGACGAAGATTAGAAAGGTAGGTTCAAGTGGAACTTTACCGGGTGTTGGGCACTTGACGTTATTTTATCGATGCTGAGGATCTTCCGCATGTTGCAGCTATCAAGGTTCACTTATAATTCTAAGGCTTTTGTTATACTAAGACCTATTAGACAGCCGTTCATTTGCTTTTCAATCAAGTACAGTGTCCATCCTCTTGTTCTTTCCCTGATAATAGTTTCTGTCAAAGGTCAAATCACAGGAGCGTTGCAAGCCGTATCGTGGAGCTAAAAACACGTTTTTGTTGATCGCCCAGTAAGTTATTTGAAATCAGCCAGATATCAAGAAACTGATAACCTCTGATGTTAACGTTGACAGATGAGTAATTTAATAATGAAAGCAATCAGTCCTAGAAGGCCAAATGAGTTAATTGTATCGATCAACTTTTCGTCCCCCAACTGGCCGGTTGTCAGCTCACAGTCGACTCGCAGTTGCCTTCTTAACAAGAGACCCTTTTGACCATCTACTTCCATGCATCTTTGTACTCCTAACAACAGTCTGCTTAAAATCCATGTAGGAGTACCCACTTTTGCGCATTTGTGGCGGTACTACTGTGTGTGTGAATTTGAGGTGTTACTAGGTTACGTACCTTACGTCACCTCCTCACTGAAGGTCGGACATATATTACCTGGAAATACTTTTCTTGGCTTACCTTATCAAATAACCCAATATTCTGAACCAAAATTATTTTACGCTTTCTCATCTCGTCTCCATACCGAAAAGTCTCATTGCAAGTCATCAAACACTTGCGGTATAGGCGCAAGGGTAGCAAATATTCTCCAACGTCTATTCTTCTTACGAAGTAGACCACCTCGTTTTAGAGGTTTGCAATCACCCGCATTCGTATGTGAGGTTCTTTGGGAGGGGCAAGCATTGTACACCCACGGAACGTCAAGTATCACTAGCATTCTTTTCAGCGTGAGACATTTAAACACACAATATTAAAGGTCAACTTGACCTGTTCACTCGGACGCGATACGCACCAATGTTTTATGTGGCTATTCCTTCCAAGAAACAGCATAGACATGGTGGAAAATTCCTAACGATTCAGAAAAGAGTAGCATTCTCCGTTGGAAAAGGATATCCTTATCCGACAAAATAAAGTAGGGGTTGTAAACAATCATTCAACTTCAACATACCTCCACTTCCTCCAGCGCTTCGGTAAGTTTGTCATTCTCTTTTCTCAAGATCTCGATTTGTTCTGTTTCTTGTGCTTGTGTTTGCCTGAGTTGTTCGGTTTTTCGGTTAGCCTATAGTAGAATATTTAATAATACAGTGCTCAACAGAAACGTGTTTCTTGCAACGTTTTGTTAGTTGCAAGCAGAATAAAAATTGAGGATATTTCATTCGATTTGAGAGAATTTTCACTTTGATTTAGTCCTATACTCTGACATTCAGCAATGAAACGGAGTCCCAAATTAGGAATTCCCCATTATTTCATATTTTACGATGGGCCTCTTGTTTTTGGAAAGACTGAAGCGTCTACCTCACACATTTTAAATCACATAAGATTGTCATTTTGATCAAGTCCTGCTTTTTGGAGCACTGATAGTATTGAATTAGATGTGAATCAAATTTTTTGACATTTTCATTTGTTCCATCTCGACAGTGTGATCACAGCAGGGCTTCCGCAAGTAGGCGTACGTTTCATTATGTTTAGTCCTCCTTCCTAAATTTGTTAGCTACCTGCAAATCTGCTACACTAGCGATCCGCGTTAGCCAAGGTTGGTGTCTTTTTCAGAAGACAAAGGACAGTTTGTTTCAGATTTTCACTGTAAGTGAGAGAACGTTAAAATATCTCGGATACCTTTCCAAGGACTGTCCAAAGACACCTTCACTGAGTTCACAATTCATTGCTGATAACGACTGAATGGAGGATAATGACTTACATTACCAGAACTATTGTCCAGCTTGATTGAGTTCTCATTGAAATTTTCCAGTAATAAATATCGATTTTAGAAGTTGAGCTGATCCATCTTCGGAGTCTACAACCTCTATACTAAGGACCAGTCACTACAGTAAGTTTTGCTATGGAAGCGCCACCTTCATATGAGGGAAAAACGGGTAGACATTTCATGAATGATAGCATCTCAAATATTGCGCGGATCTTCAAATATATTTTTTCTCCAGGATACACTTAGCACCGGATCGCGGGACGCGACGTGTTTATCTAAAGGATAGCGGCACCCTGTCTTTCCTAGTGCGGGCTACCCAGACTTGTAGCCGGAGAGCATAGTATCAAAATGTCAACCGAGGCGTGACCGACTCGGACTGCTCAACTGGGCTATGGGTTGTGCAATGCAAAGCAAGAAAGGACGCGCCCTGCAAGAGTTATCTATTTTTCAGCATAGAATTACACTAATAGCAGGATGAAATGCTGATTCAACCTGGTATGGCTTATAGGCAAGGACGACGTTAGTGAGTTTAAACTTAGTAGAATGTGGTTTATAGATTTCGGTCAGAAGGTCAATAAACTATGGGAATAGTTTATGAAAATTATCCGTTTATTTAGTGGTCTCAAACAATAATGATTTGGAGCTGTAAAGTTGCCTTAGCTGCAAGCGCTTCGGCATACAGGTACTACTAACGACACTTCCGGTTTGTCATAAAAAACGTGGATATAATAGTTTTCCAAGCACAAAATTGGCTTGTGGCGGTGGTTGAAGTAACTTCGTATAAAACGACAAAAATTCAGTATCCAAAGAAAAATTTGAACAAAATGCGTTTACTGGTGAGAATCAGAAATATACTTTTGAAATCCGGAGGACGTCAAAACAGACCAACCGGTGGTCGAGAGTACACGAAAAGACCAACAGAAAAGCACAGGTGGGTACGCGAAACCTAAACTTCGTTGACATGCACAAGGACCTATATCCGACAAGACACACCCGGTTGTCGGACCGCGGTGCCGCTCCTGGAGATGGTTTTTTCCAGGTGCAAGCCGCTGTCATTTACAGAATAGGTGATGGTTCGGCTTGTCTGGATTCATTGAAAAGAAAATATTCTTGCACCTTAGGACGTTTAAGGATAAAATTTACCGCTGAAAGCACCGTACAAGTTTTTCTAGTCCTTTTTGTAATTTCCACCATGCTTCGAGACAGCGACTTGCTAAACCAACCAAAAAATAATCGGCATACTTATATTACGTCACGGATATACATACATACACATACGTCCTTAACTGTTGAAGCCTGGATTCTGCATTTGCCAATCTCATCCTGAAAGAAGGCTTGCACGTTCAGACAAAACGACTACTATACTACTGTATACCTACCTTTTAAGGCTATTAGCAAGACTGGAAATACTCATTTATTGCTAAATGTTTGGTCGGTAAGATGTATGACAATAAGAGACGCCTGGATTTCTCTTAAGATGACCAAGTTTTTCCGACAGTTGTTTTCACCAGTATCTAGTCTCAGAATGATGAATCTGCTGTAAATTTGGGTAAATATTAGTCCGAATATAATACTGAAGCTTTTCACCTTACTGCTTCATACTGTTGATGAAAAAATATACCCATCATTTCATCCCTCATAAATCAAGATGCACTGTTCTTTTTCAACAGTTCACCAGAGCGGATAAGCTACAGGTCCCTGTTTTCATTCTCGAAGATTCCATTTATGCTATGGTGAGCGACAAATGTGAATTCAAGACCTATATTGTGAATGCCTCAAAATCAACATTCATCTCCACACAAGCAAGCCAACCAGAAAATGCTTTCGATCAATCGATTGATCAATACGAACAATGTTTATATATAACTGGAAACCGCACAAGACCCTAATCAGCGCGTTTTCCATTTCAAATGTCAGTGACTAGTTGTCATACTTGTCAGGGTAAATTCGGTAAACAACAATGTCAGTGGGACAGTAGGATTTAAAGTTTCGATGTCGGGAAAGGACGAGAAAACAAATGGGGTGTGACAAGCCGGTAAATGCCATATACTTCTGAAATCCTCTGCTTCAATTCATTAACGTGTTCGACTTTCTCGGCCAGAATTTGATCCCACTCAGTGTTGATCTGTCTTGTTCGCTGTTCAAGCTTTTCAGAAGGAAAGGAATGGGAAATGGTGATCAAAACAAAGATCATTGGCTAGTGTTAAACAACATGCAACAGTAGTGCAATAGGAAAGCGTTTCGTGCAGGGCATATAAAGTGGGAGTGCAGAGGAATTACTCTCTACGATACTTTTGTTCTACCTGCTTAGTTCCCATTTACCGAGAAATCTTAGTGCTAATCGAAATGTACTTGCTTCTCCAAAACGTTAAAAAAATACAACTTCTGATCGGTTTTTATCCAGAGATCGAAACGGATTTGGAGCACGATGACAGCTTATGTGTGCGTGTGTGTGTGGAAGACATGCTACAAAGGAAGTTGCGTGACGGCAGAATAGTTTTGCGGGGATCCAAAAGATATCGTTCCTTCATTATGACTGCGGCAATTGTCATCAGGATAACTTTTCGCACTATTGCGAACTTTTTGATCTCCAACTCGCCCAGTCACCTGAAGCAGAATGACATGCAACTTTTACAATTGTTGACCGATATTTTGACCTCGAATCTGTGAAGGTCACTTCGTGAAGGGGCAGGCCTGTATTACAAACATAACCTTGCTAGTACTGTGACATCAGTTCTCCATGTCTAAGATGTTCTATCATAAGACAGCTGTCTAAGAAATGTTCTAGCATAGTAGGTTTGGCTTCTGCTTAAAAGAATTCCGTCCGCATAATTCATGGACTGTTGCTCAACTTTTTTGCAGTAGGGAAAGAACTTCGGAAGTCGAAAATCGACGCGTAAGCATTGTTGTCGGTCAAATCGTTTTCCAAGCCAGACAAACCGGTCACCAACTAAAATACCTGGACTAGCAAAATTCTTATCAAATCCAGACAGCTCGTTCTATACTATGTTAGCTGTTGTGTCCTTGCCCAATGAAGTTTGTACACAATTGCCTCACTGGGTGGGTGAATGCAGTGAAAAAGTCAATTGTTCAACATCGATAGATCACGTCTGCCCTCATAGATCGATTCTGGTAACTTTCAAAAATAGTGTGGGGTTAAGAATCTCTGGCGTTCGGACAAATTATCTGACCATCAGATGACAGGCCTTTGTTGGTATGAAATCGAGCTGGACGAATGGCATTTGTCATAAGTTATTTCGACAAATTCCAAATAGAGCAATCTGTGTGCCAACTTTAGAAACTTTACCTAAACAACCAAAGAAGGTGAGCTAGATAGAACAATGCATTTTAGATAAATGGTGAGTGGAGAAACATTCCAACCACAGACAACGCATGGCTCAAAACAAACTACCTATCAAAGTTAAAAATTTCCCACGAGCACTTCCCTACTATGGATAAAAACTTCAGGAAAATTGTGACACCCTCATTCTCTGATTGATTACGATAGCACAGCATCATATGAATGTTGAAATTTTGAGGACACTTACTCTTGCTTTTGACATTTCCTCTGCCTGCCGTATTTTGCTCTCCAGTTCCGAGTATGCTTGATCCAGTGATTGGTGGTACGCACTGGTGTTGCTGAGTTACGAAGAAAGGTATATCAGTTACAATAGATAATCTAAGTTTGCCACCAGAATCGCCCATCTAATGCCTTACTTCATGATGACAGAAGTCTGCTAATTTGAATGCACGAACTCATCATGAAAACTGAACTTGAAGAAATTAGATAAGGTTTTACTCTCATTCATTGTAGCTGGAGATTTTCAGACAAAAACGTTTGCCAGAGATGAGACAAACCACGTAACAACGCTGTCATGAGCTGGAATAGTGTATATGCACTATAAGAATACAAGATACAAACTCCGAATTACCAACTGGACAAGGAGCTTTAAGGAAGCAGAATAAATAATATGCACAATGGGCAAACGATCCATTCTCAAGACTGATTGTTTTTACTTGCATACTAGGCAGCTCTCCCAGGTAGTTAAACGGAGATCTGTCAGTAGCTAAAACAACCAATTGTGTCATTTTATGAGTATTCTGTTTTCTCAGTAAGGCAGTATAAAATGGTAAATGTACAGTTTAGTGCAAAACGTCTATAAAATGATGGTCGCAAACTTCGGGGCCTCTAAAGAAGGCTCTGCTAACTTCCTAAATCATGTGCCCTGGCACTATTTAGAGTGGCAGCAAAAAACACCACTGAACTTTTGACGTGTCCAAATACGATGGTGACCTGAGTGCATCTGAGTGAATTTGAAGGGAATGCGATGTTTTCCATCCATGAGTTTGTAGCACTTTCACGGGTACATAGTGCTCTGCAAACAATAAGCTCAATTATTTGGCGTGCACTGATATTCACTTTTTAAGAATCTGCATAAAAACATTTCCAGTGGAGCAGTGGGGTAGCTTCCTCAGTATTTCGCCAACAGTTAAATGCAACAATATCGTGTATGGGATTCCCACGAATCACCCGATGGACAGGATATGAGTATTCGGTTTTCTGAATTACTATTTAGACAAAGGTGGAGTGTACAGCGAAACGATACTTTAACACCTCGTCAGGGTGTTGTTGTTTACTTACTGTGTCGCCACAGCGAGGAGTCATACGACTTCATGGATATCACCTACCGCAGGAACGTATGCTTGAGAGTGTGCGGCAAGATCTGCGAAATGGTTATTTGGTCTCGTTTCGAACGTCCAGCACGTAACAAAGATCCGATTTGAGGCCTGTCAAACAAGTTTTTAGTCCCCAAGTACTCCCTTGATCAGCCAGCTTCGGTGTTGTCCGGACTGACTAGCCTATTAACAACCCCACTGAGAGTACGTTTGAACCATTTCGGTGGACATCCCTCAATGCTTTGGAGCACTTCCGCTCTACAACGAACATTTTTGTCCGGCTACTTAGTTGAGACCTTGTCTAATCAACTATCTCTCTTTCAGCAGGTCTGCTGTCTGGACCGTACCTAATCTCTGTGTCTCCCACGTTGTTTGCTACTTCGCGTGCGCCCGAGTTAAAAAGTAGATTGTCAGGAAAGATTGGAGCAAATGCGAGCGAGTCCCAGAACACTTGCTTTTTTCTTGGTCAGGACCACTTCCATGGTAGCTGAGACCTGAATACCTAATTCTTTGATCGCCAGATATATTATATTCACTGGATGCATAGTTGATGTTAAAACAGCATTTAGAATTTTATGTGCAATATCAACACGAAATCAGCGGCTTCCGCTGAGGCCGTGCTGATCGATCACACTGACCCTGACTCAAGCTGTCACCTTGCCTTAGAATCAAGAAGCGGGCCAGATAACCTCACCGTAAAGTTGACTCCGCCGCACTATTTTATTGGTACCTATTCTTCAATAAGATCTAAACCTGCTGTATTTTAGTTTCGCAGCTAATAAGGTAGAAGCAAAATCTATATATTTCGCAGTCTTTTTCTTCTTGCCGTGGTAATAAACTTTAGTGTTTTGTAACTAAATAATCGCGTTCTCCGACACAGGTTCTCTCCAACTCCGTTCATCTCTGAGTCATATCACATATTTCGGGGGCCCTCCGTCGACGAAATCCCATCCCTCTACCACATGAACTATTGATGGTTTTCATTCAACAGTGGCGTTTTCTGATACTACATTTTATTCGGTTTCGGCCGTTACAGGGGCACTCCAGAATCAAAGCAACATGTGCCAAACTTTTTCTGCTAAGTGCACTTATGGGAAGGACGTGCGGTATGAATTGCCTAGAATGCAAGAGCTCCAACTAACTTGAAGTGAACCATCTTTTCAGGTCGTTATTCAAGGGCGATCCCCAGCGACAGCTCTACATTGTTCTGAGGAATACAAATCCGGTACAAAATCTATGGACAGTTGAACAAAGTGTATGCATCGCAATTTTTACCATCCCTGGTTTTCCAAATCGTCAAAAGAAAATAACAAATATGGTTACAAGAAATGTCACTTCAGCATATTTATTGCTGGTTATTCCTCAGGTCTCAAGTTTTGGAAGTAAAATTTTTCAACCTCCAAAACTAATCTTCCCTTGTTTATCAGCTACTCAGTTTCCGCTGACTCTGCTAATCGCTTACCTTTCTAATTTGCACTCCATCTGATGCATGGACTTTTGCATATCATCTATTTCTTTTGATGCTTGTTGTATCATTGATTCGAATTCGGTTACCAGTTTTGGCATGGTTGTTTTGATAGTGTTGTAAAGGGTGCTGAAAATAGAAACGATGCAGTTTGTCACAGCGCTGTCTTCAATGCGGCTTAAATTTGCTCAAGCTTCTCGTTGTTGAAAACAACATGAAATGTGCATGGGAATTTGCAATATTTTTTGCAGAAAGAAACGAGAACGGATTTTATGTCATTTTTGTATTTCCACTTATACTCTTCTAACTTATTGAACCCATCGAGATTAGTTCTATAACAGAGTGCAGTGTTCCCTACCAGGAATTACTGTTCCGGATAAAAAAACAACAAACGATGTTACTTTATTTGCAAAGACGGTAAATGCTTCTCTTTCACTGCACTCATATTGCTTGGTCTTAAAAATGCACTAAATTTTAGTAAATCGGTTAGTTCCCCGTTGTTCAATCAGAAATGCACCAAAAGTGCCCAGGATTAATCCTATATACACATGCTTTCAGACTTTTTCAAATAAACGTTTCGTCGGGCCAAACTGGCACCGTTATCCGAAAAAATGACAAGCTGGACAGTGAAAGTTCCTCACACTCTCGTTGTCTGGACCTTCCGTTGATTTGTAGTATGCAGACAAACGGAAAGAACAAAATGGCACATGACATTAGACCAAACAATCCTCACCACCATCTCCTTTGCCAGTGATCTGTATACACAAGACTGCTAAATTTTGCTGTCAGTCTCACTTTGCTGAAAATGAATTCAAGAAGGGGTAGTGGGGGTTGTTGAGAGATTTGCTTAGCTTACTGTTGGTAAAAATTGTTTTATGGAAGTACGACTGACAAAGTCATCGTACCGGTCTCAGGGATCACTTGTTGTTATTGGTAGTGTGAGGAGATTTGGGATTTTCGTGGGATTTCGTCCTGTAAGTGAAGCTAATCTATGTTTCTCGGCTTTTCAGCATAGATTGGCTTCACTTACAGGACGAAATCACTTATTGTGTCATAAGGTGTCTGTTTTTACACATACGAAGCTCCAGTGGTGCTTATATATCAGAGGCTTGTACAGCTTGGACAAAGAATGAGAGGTGACTCTAGGTATCCGGTAACTAATATGGCTTGCCCATTGACTATGTGTGTTTGACTGCGCGTATGGTTTCGCGTAATATTCAGCGGTTTACCTTTTCCCAATCCGGACATGAATATAGTCTCTCGAGAGACCACCGAGACTGATACAGCTGCCCAGGTAAAAAAATTTGTCGACTACCTCAATCGGCTCATCCGCACGCATGAGGCGAGGGCTCGAGTCCATCCACTCTTGCAGTAGCACTTTACTGTCTGCAGGTATGAACGCATGCCAAACCGTGAGCCAGAATTAATTAGATTATTTAATATTGATTGTATCCCCACGGTATCAGACCCAAGAAGACTTATGTCGTCTGTGTACTCGATATCTATGGGTGAACACTCCGGGGGCATTTCAACCACACAGGCATCAGAGGCTGATGGTGAGTCTTCCATGATCGTAACATTGACAAAGTTGAAGAGAAAAGTTATGGGAAACAGCTCTGTCTGATACCCCTTGATGTTGTCAACTCCAAAGAGAGCTTTCCGTTGACAGTTACACGGTCCCCGCAGTCAGCGTACAGCGCCGTGAGAAGGGTCAAGAATTTATGGAAGACACCTTTGCTCCACATACATTGTCACAGTCCCTGACGGTCCACAGAGGCAGAGATAGCTCTTAAGTCAAGGAACATAACCACTTTTGTTTGCTGCATTCCCGAGCTTTTTTCGTTTCCGAGCCGTCTACACCGTGCCCAACTACGAAATGTCCAAACTGTTGTTCAGGCACGTGTTTCTGGAAGGCATTTTTCGAAACTGCAGTCGAATAGTTTCGGTTCCGAATTAACTTGGATACTCACGAATTGCTAGCTGTTTGAAACAGGATAAGATATACAAGATAAGTGTGCGGCGGTAACGAAGCGGAAAACCCGGCAACCCAAACCAGGTGCACTCAGCGGTGCTTCATGTAAGTCTCAGATGCGCTTGAAAAATGGACGAGAACTAAGGTTCTCCAGGACATATATCCTTCCAAAGCTTTTATTTCTATTCATTGTCTACAAAAATGACAGTAACCGGCTCAGACTTAAGTACCATAAATCAATTGGGCGTCCCACTGAAATCATTTATTGTTCAAGAATAAGTTCGTTACCAACGTAACTGGATCAAATGGGTGCAGTCGCGGGATATTTAGCACGAATTCCTAGTTGTCTACTAGCAATGCAAAATAATCACCCTTGGATGAGAAACGGAATGTCGTGCCAGAATGACAGCAAATCAAAGATGTGCCCTTAACAGAAAAATGCGCATTAAATTTCACCTAAAATGTCCACCAACCTGGAGAACAACTGTTGAATAATAGCGAGCGACGCGACACTGTTTTCGCGGGCTCGTGTAACCTCGCCTTTCAATTCCTGATTTTTTATCATCTCTTCTTCAGCCCGCCTTTTCTGGATGATTCGCGCGGTTTCGGTACTCTGAGCGGCCATGAGGAATTGACCTAGATAGGGGCCATAGAGAAAATAATGGTAGTTATTTTTGTGAAGCAAGAAATCAATATTCACCTACATTCAGCTGTTCGTAGGCACCTGTTCAACACTAAGCAATCTGTTGATCGCAGGTGGTTGGAGGGAAAATCCTCATTTCTGAGCGATCGAAATCTATTGATCCTAGTGCAGAACAGCTGAGATATTTTACGGAAGACTGCCTATGAACTACAATGTTGATTGTATGATGGATTTCGTCTATCACACTGGCCGTTGTCCACCAAATGCCCACAGTGGACAAGAATCCACAAACAGGTGCACTTGATTAGTAGACACACTAAGGGTATGTCTATCGTGTTGATGGATGTTGTAGAAATTACCTGTTCCTTGCATCCGTTTACCATATACAACGGCCTAAAATTTCGTCCCAAACACAACTTGTAGCATCCATTATAATTTTCTTCTTTACGTTTATATAAGCAAAATTACTTGGGCTGCAAATCTCTGCGGGTTTTGGAGCTAAAAACTTACATGCGTACGGGCTAACGGAGCACCCGCAGTGGAAACTTGCACTGCATTTCACTAGCCTCCTTTTGGATTTCGCACTCCAAAGGAGTTTTGCGACCTCTCAGCAGGTTATGGATGAGCGTCACGTGAAGCAAATTGCTAAGCGCAGCAGTAGAAAGAGATGAAAGTCCTAAAAAACGGTGAGCTCAAGAAGAGCTAGTCTTTTAGCTACCCAGGTGCGAAATACATTGCAAAGTAACGACTTCATGTGCACCTGCGCCGATCGGTTAACCTCAGTACAATGGATTAACTGTTAGTCGGCAAGGTTACTGAACTTTCCGAAATACGTTTCACCGAACTTTAGGTTCTGTGGGCTGATGGGTGTACCTTCCGTTGGTATTGACCAATAAAGGAGGTATAATGATTATCATTCTGCAGGAGTAAAGATTTGGCAATAAACTCGGTCCGAAAAATATCTGATAATATGCACGGAGAAAAAGACCAGTAGCACAGAAACGAAGGCATTTCTTGATTCGAAATGGCTTGCTGATGCTAACGCATCCAAATCAAGTTATTCTGGAAACTTGTTTTGGATAAGGAAACATTCTGCTTTTCTTGAAGTATTTGTTAGCAACAAAAACAATGGGTTTCGGGAGCTGGCTCATAACAGGAGACCTTAAAGTTTCCTGTTCCGTAGCCTTAGTCCTTTCAGTGCATTTGGTGATCGATCCCGAGAAAAAGTTTATACCATTGAGATTTTGGGGGTGTTGTTTCTGGAAGTGCAGCCCACCGGGAGAAAAAGCGTTAACCTGTTTGCCAAGTTGTTTAACATCGACCTTCAAGACCAAATTTCCAAAGGGTAGGACTAGACATACATCCTATACGTATGTATGACAATACCCATGACATTCTGTATTTGCTTTGCGTTCGCCTAAGAACTCCAGTCTAAGACCTAAGGCCAGGATTAAACTCTAAACATTAATCATGTAAAGGTTTGTTTCCTCTATGACATTAGGCATGTTGCATCAAAATGTGCTATCAATTCTTAAAAAAACCGTTTGTGAATTTTTAACTGGATTAGCCTTTTCAACGCCCGTGCGTAGAGGAACTGACTGAACTCATCTTGTGAGGGCTTTTTGGCTCAAAATGATAAACTCTGAGTAATAATCATTCTTTTCGTGCACGCAGACATTAAAGCGATTTGTTCCCTATTTGAGGCTCCAAAACAGGATTCAGGCTCTAAAAATCATTGGGCACAATAGATTCAGGCCACCAAGCATATTTTTATTCTCTCATGGTTGGGTGAATGGATCAGAAACCACCCATCTGTGCTGCGACGGAGGATCATGAATTCACTCTTCTTCAGCTCTGACTTATAATCCATTTAACGTGAACAAGGTACAGTCCACTTGATAAAAATGTCTGACTGAAGCCAATTTTCTAACTACATAAATGTAGGAAGCACACTTGGATTTCGGTGTTTCGGGCCAAATTCGGTTCGGTTAGTACTAAAAGACTAAGCGCTATGCGGTGAAAAATTTAAAGTCAAAACACAGCGTAGTGGAATACTATGTTATAATCCGATTTTCCCGGTTGCCGTGAGCAAACTTTTTCAAGGAATTCTACACTCTGTCGAATACCGGCGTGCGCTGATGTTTTAGAAATAAACGCAAAACTGAATTGCATCAGCCGTAGCGATGCCACCAGCGCCCCGTCTACCTGACTTGGACTTACTGCATTCCTTAGTAGGCATGAGGAGCCAGATGTCCAGCTGGGAGCTCAACAACCAACACAAAAGACGGAGGCATTATAATCAAACTACACATTATAACGCGTATACGCACACAGAGCTCATACATCCACACATATTGGTCGCCAACTGGTATCAGAAACACGCCAAACAGAAGGCATGATAGCGGACCCAAAAGACGCTATATTTTATCCGCATTCAGTTGCTTGTAGAAATCTTTGGAAAAGGTCGCCCAGGGCAACCGAAAAGTATCTTATTGCACTAAGCTGTGCGACTCCGCACTCAAACCTACAACACAGCGGAGCGAGCGGTTGTGAACATATGATTTTTAGCAAGTGAAGTGCAACAGCAGTATAAGTTGCAAAATAGCTTATGGGATCAAGGGCCATGATTGCCCTGTGGTGGATTAAAAATCAAGGTTCCCCTAACCACCTGGTTTGACGAACAGGGATCTTCCACTCCACGAATAGTGCCATTCTGTAGCATTTACATCAACAGTGGCAATTTGAATGGATGTTCTTTGGTTAAATTCGTCCGTGATTTATTTGTAGCTAACATACAAATCACGAACATTACGTGTTATTCCTGTGTTATTTCTGCTTAATAAATCTTACTTTAAATATTGCCTCTGACCACCGTCCAGATAAGGCATGTAAACAACTTGCACGTCAAATTTACTAACAAGTTTTGATATTCTCATGAAATCTGCTGCCGCACTCACTTTCTTATTGCGTTCTAAAGTGAATATCCTCGTTCAACAGCACGGCACAAACGATGACGTAAAGCAGTAATTTCACCATAACCGTTTCAAACGTGCAAAAAACAGCTGTTTGCTTCCGCTAGTTTACACAAATTACCGTTTAATTTGACTTTTAAAAAGTAATCCGTGAGTTGAAGCTTGGAATGTCTAAACTGTTAGAGCTTGCGAGGTTTTCCACATCAGTAGACCAGTCTCACAACTGAACAATGTTTTCCGGAACCAATTAGCAGCGATCCGAGTCAGCAGCTGTTCTTATTGTCAATTACAAACCGCCCAATGGGTTGTGCATGCCGACTGATTTTGTAGTGGGTGTTTTCGTCTTCCGCCATGCAAATTCAAATTATGATGACATACCTAACACAGTTTAGCCGGAACCCCGCATATTAATTTACCAATTGTGTTCTATTGTTTACAAACTGCCTGAGGTCCAGAAGTTGCTTACTGATGTTTCAATCAGTTGGTATAATCTGTATGCACTGTGATAATATGCTACATGGTGTATGAGAATACGGCCGCAATAACATTTTGCTTCGTCCTGGGGACGAAAAACAGTGGTTTGCTTTTTGGTACGAGTATCCTCCAGGCAAACCTCGGGTGCTGTAAACATTTCCATGTATCTTGACAGGTAAACGTATACAGAAGAATTTCCATTTGTATTGCAATGGAAAAACTATGCATATTTTGTTGAAAGGGAAACTGTATCATACTTTCGAGGGTCTGGCACTTACCACGCTGTGCACAACATGCACAATCATATGGTGTAGCGCATTTAGGGTTTGGTAAAGCGACAGTCTTTTGACGAATGGGAAGACGGAGAGGCAATCCGTTTTGTTGAGGCAGCTAAATTTTAACCGAGGTACCATGAGAATGTAGTACGATCGAAGTAAATGTCGGCATAGTGCGATGATGGCAAAGGGTGACCAGAAAGTGAACACGCCGCCGGGAAAAAGATTCGTTGGGAAATTGGATAACTGACAATCTTATGGTTAATTTGAGGTTTCACACTTGCTGAACGTTGAACAAAAGCATGGAGTTATTTTCATTTGTGCTTATTTCGGAACCAGCACCAGCCCACAAAGTACTGCCTGGTGGATTGCGTCAGCAAGTTTCAGGCACCCCGGTTAGTCTAAGTTCTATCACTCTTGTTAAATGCTCGCTTCAGCATGATAAGTTTAGTCGGCTGCACAAAATGGTTTTTGATGGTCGCGAAATGGTGGAAAAAAGCCAAAATTACAAACATTGTCCATTCATGAATTTCGGATGAAAGAACTGAAGAGACGAATCACGCCCAGGCAGTATGGATTCGGTTAATATCCCAGCAGGAGCGCTCAGAAAAATTCGTAGCGTAAGTGGTGTAAACTGAACCTAATTCCATTAGTCGACAAGTTTATTAATTGGTGTAGCACTGGTCTTCACCCTGGGGGATTTTGAGCCCATTTTGGCCAAGAGTATCTTGTGGCACTACCTAAGCTTTTCAAGAGTATAAAGTGTCACCTACGTGAAATTACGAGCGGATGAACATGGGAACTGTGCTCAAATGCTGAATCACAAATGGGGTAAAACCGGCTAGATGTGGAATAAATTTCGCCAAAAATTATACATAGTTTTTGGTCCTGAAGAACGCTGGATATACTGAATATCTTTCCAAGTCGAAAATAAGCGATATATTCAGCTAGGGGACGTAGATTCGTCTGGACTCCGTGAATTTTTCCGTTATTACCATATTGATAAACGGAAAAGTCTTTGGCTTGCTGTCCATAGTTAGCTTTGTGTTAATGTATGAGGCAGTAAATGAGTGGAGTTTGGTGTGTTGTGACTCATCCACTTAGTATGATGTTTGTTGGGGTATGTTCAAGAGCTGCTAATCAGGTGACCTTTGATCCGTTCATCCAGCCTGAAAATCACTCCAGTTTAATTGGATGCTCGGTGTAAGCGATCGATCGAATGCAGCAAAGGCAGACCACAGAATAATTCAGGTCACGAACAGACCACTGAAACGAGTAGCATTTCTTTAAAACAATCGAAGATATAACTTATAGACAAATGTCCTTAACCACACGACGAGAAAATATTCGACCTCCCGTACGCTGATGATGTTCCATCGAATGTTGATGGAACGTTTTTAGGCTGATCGCTGAGTTTACCTGGGAGATCAGCAGTCAGGCGACTAACAACCAAATGCGCACCGGTCTCCTAAAACGCCAATGCAGAGTGAACTCATTCGATTTTTAGGCTGATCGCCGAGTTTAACTAGGAGATCAGCAGTCAGGCAACTAACAACCAAATGCGCACCAGTCTCATAAAACGCCAATGCAGAGTGAACTCATTCGGGTTTGTATCTTGGGACATTCTTTGAACGCAGCTGAAAACAAGCTGGCTCAAGACAAATTTCATGGTAGCAACAGAAAGTAAACTCTTTCTTCTTCTTTCTTCTTGCAAACCGAACCCAAGCCGAATCTCCCCCTTAATCGTAGTCTTCAAATGAATATACTGCATCAGTGCTTTTGAAAGTTTTTTGGAAGTAAGGTGAATCGACAAAGTGATTCCTTTCCAGCAGGAATCCGCGCCTCTTGTAGAGAATTGTCCCAGATTGGATAAGAAATAACTGTGGATAAAAAGTGAACATTCAATAATGCATCTTCGTTATGCGTAAACACCAACAATTAGATCCAACTAATCAAATTTGGCACAGACTTTCACATCAAAAGTGTGAGCTTCTGGTTCGGTCAGTACGATTCACCTATGATGCTGAGCTGTTCATGCCCAAGCTGAACTGAGGGATATATGGTAACATACAAAGTACAGAACTCAGAACATTTTCCCACTTTACCTTAGATTGTGCAAATAGCCCTAGAAGGGGCCGTTAATGGATATTTTACTCATCGGATTTTGGTGCATGCTCAGCATTAGGTGCGTTTCCATCATTTTTTGTTTGACCGACTGTAAGCCACCAACACGGAACTATGTTGTCTTTGAGGGCATCATTGAATATTGACACCTCAGAAAAGGAACACCAAAGTTCGCCACGAGTTTCTTTGGTATTTTCATGAGAGCGACACGTGTCGCATTCACAAAACTCACGTTTAGCCGGTAGCATTCTGTTTTGAGCCGGTGAAAACAGGTCATTCACGAGTAGTCATTCAGTGCTGCTTGCAGATCGTAATCAGTCGCAGGTTATGGAGCTCACTTGGGTTCTGGTGAGATGCAAACAGTTTGCACGCCTCAAACAAACTATAAGAAGCACCATTTACCAAGTTGACTTCTGGTCCAACATTTCTCTGAAGTGTACTTAACAGTCCGTAAATGAGACAGAACTTCGTTTAGTCATGAGAGGACTGCTCTCCAAAGAAACTACTATAATTCCATTAAGATTCTTTGAATTGTAACACCCAGTAAAAGTACCCTGCAGCACTTGGAAAATCCAGTGGCTGTATTCCTCACATTGTCCTCACATTTCCGTAACGGGACTGCAAGTCATGTAAAGTTATTTATATATCTGGGCTGAAACAAGGGTCTCCTTGCCATCCGCTTCCAGAATTCAGCATACCTACCTGATTAAAATGTTGGATACCATGTACTTGTGCTAACCTGTCCAGTACGTGGCCGTTGTTCATTTGAACTATCTACTAAGATGAGGAATTTTGCGATCCAGTAAGAAAATCAAAGGCTCTCGAACATCTGTTTACCACATCTGGGTAACGCCTCTTTAAGTACACGCCAACAGAAGCTCTGCGCTCGAACTCAGATTACTAAATGAAGAGATTTCTCCGAAGAAGTTTCGGACATTGTGTCATGTTGGGTGACTGAGCAGTTTTAAACTAGGAATACAAACTGGGATGAAAACTAGTCTCATCGCAAATGCTCCTTCCATTGACTGCTTTGAATTGCAACTGTGCAATAAGAAATCGAGAAGTGACAATTGATACTGAGTTTGGTGAAGTTCAATTTCTGTTGGTGGCCAGGGCTTTTGTCATCCACGTGTCCAAACACATCAAACGTGCACAAATTCCAATGGAGCTTTCCCGTTCCACACTATCTGCTTCAACAGTGATAAACCATTGTTTTAGGTTCACAGGTTTGAGACCCTGTAGTTGGGCTGGTCTGAGATGAGAATTTTCAATGAAGAATACAAATTGAGCTAGCATATCTCTCTCTACGCTAATGATGTACCATCTTTCCATTCAGGTATTATCAGGCAATTACCTCGTTGTAACGTACGTATGGTGCGTACAATTAAAAATTTAATTAAGCCGACTTCTGTAACACAGAGTATCACACAGGCACAAGGTGGAATGTCTCATCAAAGGTTAGTGAAAAGTTCGTTCAAACGGTTATGACTTCGATGACATTTTTGGGTTCTCATTTTTTCCGGCCGCCTGAGCGCGCATTTATTACGGCAAACTCTTTTCGATAAAACTGTTACTAACGAAATGAAATATTCTAAGCCTTACTTATCACTTACCTGAATGGTTGCTATTCATCAGTTTGCCGAACTACTCATATGTGCTCATAGTTATCTACGAAATAATAGGCATCACCTTGGCAAATCATACGTTCAGTTTAGAAGTTCGGAAATTATGAGCAAGTTAGTGGCATTAAACGGTCCCGGTGCAGTGAAGTGATCTTTTGAAATTTTGTGATAGCTCAACTCTTCTGTTCCACAGGCATATGAACATGTTCAAAAAAGACTTCCAAAAGGTTTTTAGGTAATGAATCCCTGTGTTGCTATACGGTGACACTGTAACACGAATTTTTAATGCATTTTCACACGACGGACGTTGTGAATGCATTAGCCACCACACGATTGTTTTGGATTTCAGCTGATTATTCCAAACCGAAAACACAAGGGAGTATTTATCAAACTTACGGCAAAAGAAAAAATTAAAAGTACAAAGAAACCAAAATACTGCTTAAATGTGGTCAACTCTAGAGCTGATGACTTACTAAACCCATCGATAAATTCTTCAAGTGTAAGTTTACCATCCCCATTTACATCCAACAACCGAAACGTGGTTTCCAGTTCTTTCAGATTCAGGTTGGCCAGAACGCTTGACCTGGAGGTCTGCATTTTAGCAATGTCGGAAATCGGCAAATAAAGTGTTCCATCTTGCTTGTCCACCACCGGTTCGCAAGAATAAAACAGGTCTGTTGCCTGTTTGACTGTCTCTCTTGGAATTTCTTTCCTCATTAGTGTGTCTGTTGAAAGAATGAAAGAATACCGGTGAGCACTCTGGTACTTGTGTTGTCATGTTGACAAATTCATGCAAGCACAAGAAGTTCACACAAAAACATATTCGAACGGACGAACGAAATGACTGTCAATAGTTGGCGAACATTAGCTTAATGGAATTATTTCCTATATATATTTCGTTGTTAAGTTGCCTTAAAACATTCTTGTTTTGGTGCTTTCCATGAGTGAACGTTGCAACAAAATCCTCTGTTAGTATTATTGTCAGAGTTAGTATTTCTCTTCGTTAACACATGACGTCAGAGAGAGCGCAGATGTAGGTTGAGAAGAAAACTTGACGGTTCGGACACATATTAAATATAACATATACTACACACGACATTATACATATATTGTATATATTATATATTATGTTTAATACACAACACTTCGGGTATTCAGCCTTTCTGTTTGTTTGTAGTACTTATTTCAGGCGGTTAACGAACGATCTAACCAACCTGGGCACAAATCATTCTTTTCGTACTTTTTTTATGAAAGAGAGAGACGTATAAACTTATAGCTAGTCACTCACTCAGTAAAACTGACTGGTGTCACAAGTATTTGTGCTGCCACATATGGATAGAGCATATGGTACGGAGCAACAAAATGTCATACCTGCGTTAGGCAAGTAGTTTATGATGGGATGATGCTGATCAGGATTTTATAACAGTCAACGGAAGAACCACGCATTTGCCGAATAAAGATCAGTATTTCAGGCGGGTTTTGGTGGTGGAGCGACAAGTTACAAGCTGCTGGTCACACAAGCTGAACGTAAAGTGATGAAAACTCCGAAAGAATCACATTAGTCAATCAGGTGAATATCAGTGATATCAGTGTGCCTATAACTATGTACAACGTTCCAGGATCCATCGTAGGCACACAAAGGTCGCACACATGCAAAATAAATTAAAAGGGTTTGCACATTTTGTTAGCTAACAATGGTTATCAACCTAACCGCCCCCTCTCTTCAATGACGCACAGACTCAACACAAGACTGATCATAATTCGCGACTCAAAAAGCCATTCAACAGAGTGTGAAAACTAATCGGACAGCTTAAATTTTTCTATATCTCAGGCCGTTTCTAGAGGAAACGAGGGTTTTTGAATCACTGGTCAACTCTTCTAAAGGATATACAGTTTTCATTTCCTACTTTCCTTTATTCGTCGATTACACTGGAATGCATGCATACGTTGGATAAACCTTTTGGTGTTTTTTTTAAATACGTATGGTTGCGTACCCTCACATTAAACAGCAGCTGCAGTTTTGCCATAAGATGCGGCCTGCACCTCTGGAGAGTACCCTCTTAGATGCACCAAAACAGGTCCAGTAATGGCTTCAATCAATCGTTCCTAATCTGGCCACTGTGTATTTTCTCACAACTGTTCTATTCACTGCAGAGTCATCCGGTGAATGGATACTGAAATAGTGTGGTTTGAAGTCAAGTACGGCAGCACGATCGCCCAACCCCAAGAAAACGGTGTAAAATGGGTTTCTTTATGTTGAAAAGACCTTCAGTAATCTCTACCTTTGATAATAATCTGTAGGTCTGAAGAAGCCTTATACATAAAACCAACCTTCAAGTGGAAGACCAAGGAAAGAACATATTCGTCCGAGTCCTAGGTATACGTCATCCGCAGAGTTAACAAAAGGCTCGACACTTCAACCAAGATCGTGTCGTCATTATTGGAATCAAGTTAAATTTCATTTGCGCTGGATAATGCAAGTAGATAATTTTTTCTTTACAACGAATTGGTTTGTCCTCTTTCTACGACGTAACGTTAGGCTCAAATTCTTATCAGGTTGGGATTACGACGAGTCTCATAGTAATGTGAGCTGAACAGATAAAACTAAGTACAGACTAGACTAGATCTGGGACGCGAAAAGACCAACTTCAGGTGTGTTTCGGTCGTAATTAAAAGTCAGTGTTGTATTTATATTAAGTGCGCAAGGATGTGGTATCCAGCTATACGTAAATAAGAGGGAATGTGCTATCTCCTAAAAACGGTGTTTGTCGTTTGAACTAGAGACTGATCGCTTTCAATTGTTCGGCAGGGTGCTTCTATGTCAAACAATTTCGAACAGATGGTCCACAGATTTAAACACATCATTTTTTCAGCATTCACCTCCAAACAGGAATCTTCTCTCAAATTGTTTACTTCCTCCTGACCTCGAGAAATAAGCCACCGGATTGACCGTTTGAATGCCAAAGTACCGAAAGGGTTTGGAAATTTAGACAGCTTTTCTCCACACTATTTTTCCAAAGTAGATAGCTTTTTTCTCAAATTCTAGGAGCATAGAGAATGCGTGATGTGACGTCTTGCAGAGTGACAATGGGCGCGAAAAAGCATATGATTGCAAATTGTTAAAATCATTTCTAAGTATCTCAACTGCGATGAGCTTGTTCCTCAAAATTACATGCGAAATTTGGCGTTTAAAACAGCTAACCGTTTTTATAGTTCAACGAGACAAATAATCACTTCCACTGGTAATCAGACACACTGAAGCGCGTGGCTTCAGGTTTCTATCTCAATAGATACCACGATATATATGTAGATTACTGGGGAGATATTAAATTTACTGTTAAAGTAGCTTGACTGACTTATCTGGATTGACCATAGAACGAGTGTCCTTTGACCAACTATAGACGTAGCCACACATGAATCTTAAAACCAAAAGTAAAATAGTCATTCTTCTTCGCGTACCACTTAAAGCTGCATGATACCTGGAAAGCATGGTTTGTTTCGGAAAATCTTATTTCTTTCCTCTATGTTTGTGTGGCAGTGTGGGCATGTAACTTTATTTCAGACCGACGACGACAAATACAACTGGATTAATCCACAAATTCTAATTTGAGAAATTCAAAGGTTCTCAAAATTTGGACCAGCATGAGACAGGTTGAGATTCTGCTTTTGTAGGCCATTGGTAATCACTGCCCCAAAAAGGAACTATAATCCTCATCCTTTTGGGGCGACTTCGACCGCAAGGTTTAGACCCGACTACATACAATCGTTCGATGAAATTTTCGCGACCTCGATTCACACGTCATATTAACGCCCAAATGCTGTTTACTGACCGCCGCCCTGCTAATCCGTGTATAATTTGTTTAGGGATTTATTTCTTAGATAATTTAGCGATTATTCTCACCCCCAGTTTTTCATTACATGAGGGAAAGCCAGAGATAAACTGGTCAGACAGCTCTAGCAAACATAGAAGCATCCCGATTTATAAGCAGCTCAGAGGCTCACATTAGCTGCTTCATTTATTGGGCTTTTGTAGAGAGGCCGAGTATTGAGCGTACTTAGCTTCTAATGGACTTTTCCATTATGTGGGGATTATTCTTTAGCTGAGCTTACTACAGAATGCTTTAATTTCACAGATATGATACGCAATTCTTTGATAATTAATTACAGGACTTAAAGAATGTCGAGCTGCTACAGCACTCACACTGTGGTCAGCCTGTTTGGAGTGGGAACTTTCCACAAAGGACAATTTAACGGAGTTTCACTAGAGGATGTTATTTGATGAAGACCAGCACATACTTTAAAGTCCGCCTGTGTAGCTGTGCTAATGGACATCGCTCATTATTTCAGTGTAAAATGGACTTCCACAAGATTTTCGGTACCAAGCAGCACTTACCCATGACAGGCCTTGCTTGCTCTTTTGAACTGAACGCAATGGTATTATCGTGATCTACTTTATCTGCTTTCTCTTGGGTGAGTGTGCAGGGCTACAATCCATGGGACCATTTACCAACAGAGAAATATCCTATCTGATTCCGCAGTTAGCTAAATGAAATGGACTTTGGAGTACTATACGGGAATCATTCTGTTCGCAATCCCGGAGGCTTTCATGGTGGCAGCGTTACAGGTCGACGTATGACATACAGTTCTAATCAACCGGCAGAAAAGATCATTTTCAATAATGCCTTTAAACACCTCTCCCGGAAAGGTCACGCTGTAGCTTGGGAAACTCAGCATGTTCCCCCTGCTAGTCTTGGTCGAAACCCTTCTTAGAACAAAATCAATATCTGATTCGTCCGTCCGAAGCGTGAAACGATTTTCAAATGTTCATAAAGAACAATTGTCTGAACTTGTACTTTTAAGGCACGGTCATTCAGCATCTTGTTGTTCCCATTTAGTTTGACGAGAGAAAGAGAGAGAGGAACACGTCTCACTTTCCGCAAATCTGTCTATGAAGCTTATGTTTGTAGAAGCTGTCACTATTATGTAGGTTACACTGAGTTTTGTGACTAAAGAATAAGTGGTATTATTTTCCTCCCTATGGCTACTTGTGCGTTAGAATCACCGTCCTCATCGTTGGCATTACCGTCCGTGCTTCAGTGTCGTCTGGCTATGTCAATTTATTTGAATAAAGTTTTGTAGTTGAAAGAAGAAAAATGGGGCAGGGGAAGGATCTAAAGCTGACCTACCACAAGCATCCCAAGTGCCTACTCTTTCAACGCTCACCCAGACAGCCTATACAGAAAATGACGGCGTAAACGCTACCAAAATCGGTTACCTGCCTCATCCTCGGTTATGTCGATTCCATTCTGGACTATACCAGCAGCACCCAAACTTTTTGTAACACCCTTCATCCCTTTATACCATGTACGACTGTTCACCAAAACATTAAGAGTTTTTTTGGACTTGAACCCAGTGGACTAACGAGTGAAATATGATGGCAGGCCATGAGAAGGATAAACAGCTGAGATTTATATCATGTAGGCCTGATGCTAAAATCTTTCTCAAAATCTCCTGATTTTTCTTGATTGGAGTCTTACTCAAAGTCCGTCTTGCCGTAATGGGAAAGGAACACACCTGTGGTTTTCACTTGTAAAACCGAATCCCTTGTTGCGACTACAAAGACATTTTAGAACAGTCTCTATTACAGTAGCCTATAAATCAAACTAATTTATTCCCTTTCACAGATCAATTGGCTTCTTTGTGGTGGGAAACGCAAC